AGGTAAGACATCTTGGCATTTATTGCTCTCAGCTCTCTAGCTTCCTGGTGACCTCGTCTGAGCCATTCTACTCAGGCCTCGTCCATTCTCTTTGCTACGCCCTTGCTAACTTCACCGTCGGAGTCTCCGCCCATGGGATAACACCTAGGGCCTCTGACGTGTTTCTTCCTCCACAAGTTGGACTCCTAGGCCCTCGGCTCTATCAGCCCTCGGACACACCAACAAGCCCTCAGCAAATGGAAGTGAATTTACATTGTTGCCCTCGGCCCATTCCACGTAGAAACACTTACCAAAAAATCTTATCTTATAGATGAAAAAGATGAGATGGTGTAAGCGATGTTTTAAAATGCAAAGGTGTGACACGAGGCATTCCACTACCTAGAGGTGTAGGGCACAGTTTAGACTGTAAGAGGCGTAAGCCTCCTGAACACAAGAAGGGATAAGCCTCCTTAAGAGGTGGGGGGTGAGGAGGAAGAAGGAGGTGAAGCCCCCTTCTCTTGCCTTCCCTTCCTTTCCCTTTTCTTTCTTCTCTTTCCTTCTTTCTAACATTACAATAGAATCCTCCTAGCTATCTACAGCTTCTACACTCCTCAAAACTTCTCTTCCACATGAATAAAAGGTTTCTGAAGCTGGAGACCAAACAGCAAGCAAATCTGGATTGATGAAAGACCATTTTGTTCTTGATTGGACTTGTGAGCCTGATCAAACACTTCCTCTTCCAACACCAATGTTTCTTTCAATTTCTAGTCAAAATTACATACATTGGTCCTCCCCGATTCCTTGGCTTCTCCACCATCGAACATCACGACCTTCTATTCTCCCTCAAATCTTGCAACAACCTAGACTCATTTGTCAGACAAGTTCCCTCAACCCATTTTCTTCTTTCTAATTCTCTTTTTCCTCAAACCTATCAGCCCTAATCTTTCTTTTCAAATAATATCCTTTACCACATGTAACCTCTTATGCCAGTTTGTTCTTTTAAATCTCTCACTCATTCTCTTAAAACAATGACCCTCACTCATATCTTCCTTTATATGTTTACCTGCTACCGCTTGTCTTTTGTCCCTCCTCCCATCCTTTCGCCCAATTTTTGGACCTCTATCACCTTGTTACATTCTCCTCGCACATGCGCATCTCCCACCTAACCACTTAATTTCATATTCTCCACGTGATCTTTTATTAGTGTCGCCCCTACCACATCATCCTTTTCTCGTTCCTCCTCCCTCAACTCCCAACTCTTTGACTCCCAGTTTTCCTTAATCTCCTCCTAAACCCTACTACCTGAGACCTCTACACCTCTATCTACTCCCTTCTCCTCTCCCCCTACTTCTTTTATTCTTCCATTGTTCCTTCTTCCTCTGCTCTTGAAAATAGTCATATCTTATCCTTCAACAATTACACATAGGCCATATCTTTCTTCAAATTTAGTACCACCTTGTATGGGATAGCATAGACCTCTTCAACCACAACCACAATTCTCGCCATGTCTAGCTTCTCCCAAGACCTATTGTTGTCATCATACTTAAGGAATCTTCCACAGTTATTGCCTATTCTTCAAAGGTAAGAATACTCCACACATGCAAAGGGATGTCAATCACCACAATCCACATTGCCCATCTCTATCAACCTTCAGACACTTCTCCAACCGCTAGGAAGCACCAATCACCCCTAAAAAAAATGCCCTCTACTCACTTCCTTTAACAGAAGTTCCACATAAGCAACACACCCAATCCCTTCCACAGAAAATATAACTTATCTTCAACCACCACCAGCCACCAATTGAAAGTTTATTAAATTATTCAATTGCTTCAACAGAAAATGTCAAAACTTCCTTGTGTCTCATATAGACTTTTTTTTATGAATGAATGGTATTTTATTAAATAGAGATAGAAATAGTACAAGCATGAAGCACCCTAAGAGGAGGCACGATTACCTCCCCTTAAAGGTGGTTCCAAACCCAACTCTTTTCAGATTACAATCACAAAATAGGCAAAAACAGATAATCCTTTGAAGTCCCTTGTTTAGCTAAAGAATCTACCAAAGCATTTGCCGACCTATTAACCCACTGAAAGCTAACTGACATGGTTCTCGTAAGCCATTTGACTTTTTTGATGATGTCCCAATATCCCCAAACAACAGTTTCTGGGTCCGACATCCATCCCACTATCACCTTAGAGTCTCCTTCAACTATCAAATTAATCACTCCAAGTTGGTTGGAAATCTGTAGTCCTTGTACCACAGCTAATATCTCAGCCCTTGTAGAGTCTCCATAACCCACTGGACTTGAGAATAAGGACAGAATGTTGCTGTCCTTATTCCTCAAGATCCCTCCTATACCCGAAGGTCCTGGATTGCCTTGACTGCTCCCATCAAAGTTCAACTTTACAACTCCTTCTGGCAGGGGTAACCAACTCGCTTGTGTTCTATTTTTCTTGGATGAGGTGGAGGCCATTGCTACCCAACTCCATCGAAGGTCATCACTAGAGTAATCTACAAAGAGATCAGTAGTTTTTAGCCAAAGGATTGCCCTTGTCAATAAACAATCCTTTATTTCAGCAATGCTTCTCTCCTTCTCCTAGAAAATTCTAGCATTTCTTTCCTCCTAAATGGTCCATAAGAGGGCTGCCCTAATACATTTCCACATTACTTTCCTCTCTTTGTTGGCCAACCAAAAAAAGACAGATTAAAAAGCATATTTACTTCAGGAGGCAAGTTCCACCTGTACCCAAACAACATAAAAACCCAATTCCAAATATTTAGTTGTTTACTGTAAAAGAGCAAGAAATCAGTAGGTGATAACAGTCCTCATTCTGCACTTTACATAAAATGCACCAATTGGGGGACAAGCATGAATAAGGTCTCCTTTTTTGTACGTTGTCCACAATATTAATTTTACCATAATACACTTCCCAACAAAAACCAGCAATTTTAGGTGGAATTGGCCTTGACCAGACTTCTTTAACTAAGAACAACAAAGGGGAAGGAGTAGAGCATAGGGGCTTAAAGAAGGAAGAACAAGAGAGGGAGCCACTCGAGGTCAAAGACCAAATTCTTCTATCTGGTTTAGGAGGGTCCAAACAAACATAATCAAGTAAAAGTAAGAGCTTAGAGGAAGAAACCGATTCCTCATCCCTCAACCCTCTACGGAACCCAAAATCCCAGTTAAGAGACAATGGGAGAATGGGGGGACAAACCATTCTTTGAAAGGCAACAAACCAAACACGCCTCCTCTCAACTTAGCAGACACTTTTGAAATCGGAATAGCTTGTTGATGCTTATGCCTTTTGAATTGTTTCACTGCATTGAGATTCTTATTGCAATCCTTCACTTCTTTAGTTGCTTTCCAATCTTTATATAGCAAATTTCTCCCTCATTTTCTTAAACGCCTTTTCTTGCATGATCTTCTCGACCCATGAAATATAATCCCAGCAGTTTACTCACCTCCACCTTAGTGTTAATTACTCTTTCCATGTCAAATGCACCACCCACATCATATGTTTCATCAACCATTATCTCTTCATCCTCCTCCTCTCCATTCCTGCCTATGGACTCTTCTACCTAGCAAATTCTCCAAATGCTTATTCAATTTCCACTACCTTGTCTCTCCTACCTTTACTTGATGAACCATCCCTTCCATCCACTTCAATACCTTCTTCTGCCACCCTTTAAATCTCCCTAATCTCCTGACCACAAACCTTGTTGCTGTCATTGACCCCAAACTCCCTATTGATGCCCTATTCAACATTCCCATACTTGCCTATGGACTCTTCTACCTAGCAAATTCTCCAAATGCTTATTCAATTTCCACTACCTTGTCTCTCCTACATTTACTTGATGAACCATCCTTTCCATCCATTCCGACACCTTCTTCTGCCACCCTTTAAGTCTCCCCAATCTCCTGACCACAAACCTTATTGTTGTCACTAACCCCAAACTCCCTATTCATGCCCTCTTCAACATAACTTCCTCCAGAAACCTCCAATTCAACAACTTTAGATTCTTTGCCTCTATTGTTCAAACTATTACCAACAATAAATACCATCTCCAGGATCTTATTTTACTCTATTTTTTTGGCAAGCATGCACTGATAATTATAATTATCTGAGCCATCTAGTAGAAGGGATTTTCAAAACTAATGTTACCGGTAAATGGTAATATGCAGCAGGAAAGAATGACTTGGTATTTGTCCTCACATGTGTGTGCCCTATACTAACAAAATAATGAGACTGTTAACCAGTTAATCACATCTTCATTATCATGTCGAAACCGCTAACCACATCATCATGGGTAGTTTAGTGTTAGTAGAGTTGTGTCATAACTAGATTGAGATAATTTCTCTTGGTGGGAGTGGGCTCTTGAGTTTTTATAGGATTATCTATAAATATATTGTAAGAGCCAGTTTATGGCGTGAAGGATATTATTTAAAGATTAGGAGGTCCTCTACATTCTAAGTGGACTCCCTTCCATTTCTTGTTTTCCTTTTCTAATTGACTTTCAGAAGGCACACAGAACACTTTCAACTTTTCCCCGAGACCAGAGATCAATTTTGAAAGACGGAACAGCAGTGCTTTATCATATTAAGATCTTGTCAGAACATAAGTTAAAAAATAATAAAAGAATAACTGGTTCCAGAACCATCAATGTAATATTAGTAACAATGAAGATGCAGTTCTTAGTTCTATTAAAAAAATCATCGAGGAAGATTGTATGTCCGAAGTTAAGAAGGAATAAAAAGTAAAATGTAAACGACAATGAATGCCAAAAAAACTGAATTTTTTCAAGCTCAAGGAAAACCCTAAAAGAGGAATAAAGAACTAGAGGGGGGAGGGGTGTGTCTGTGCCACAAACTGCAAAAGCGATTACAGAACCAACCCAAATGATGAATGGTAAAATGAACAAGAAAAGGGGGAGGCAAACTGTGACAAAAATCTGAAAACCAAAACATAAGGATTTACAGAGAAGCATCAGAGAAATGGTGAGAGAGGGAAATAGATTATTACGCTATGATGAGATTCAGTTCCTGAGGGCTTGTGAAGTTCCCCACGCATGAATGCGTGACGTTGGTCGGCTTGTGAGCCGTCACAACGTAATTCCATATGCTCATTTCTGCTTCTGAGGATCACTTCTTTCTCGATCAACTCTAAGTCCAAAACTGAAACCCCCCACGCCTAAGTCTCTTGGAGAATGCTGAAACTGGCACCAACTTTTATCATATGAGGAATGCTATACTTCCGCGCTCCTGAATTTTTCAAGGACAAAACAGAACAGGAGAAAAAAAAAATTATAAATGGATCGAAACTGCTCGCAATCTGAGATAGAAATGGATCGAGAAGAAAAATAAGAAGAGGATATATAAGGTCTTGTACAATACATTCTTACTTGGGAGTGGCTTGGATGCATTGGATCAGATTTCAGGAACCTGCCAACGATGACATGCAGCGGCTGCCAACGGCAATGGCAGTGCTTACGATGGCGGGTTACAAGACCAGAGGAGTGATAAATGAGCGAACGTAAATAACGGTTTAAGGAGGGTTTTGGCATTTCGGTTTCAACTTACGGATTAAACCCAAACCAAATCCACAATCCGTTACTTTATGGTCCATTTGATTACCAGGAAACAAAAGGATGAGAAGGGACGGAATGAGAAAAGAAATTTATTTTTTCATTTTTGGCACCTGTATTTGTTTGCTGAGAGTCATTATCCTATATAATATGCTTTTTCATTTTACTAGTAATTAAGTACATATGTTGCATGTGAGAAATTTTTCTATATATTAATTAATTGAATTTTAGATATTTCACAGTTAAGATAGAAATGAAAATTAACAAAAGTAATAATATGATTAAAATTAAACTTAAATGTGGTAGCAAATAATAATTACTACTACTACTATTATTATTATTATTATTATTTTAATTGAATTTTAGATATTTCACAGTTAAGATAGAAATGAAAATTAACAAAAGTAATAATATGATTAAAATTAAACTTAAATGTGGTAGCAAACAACAATTACTACTACTACTATTATTATTATTATTATTATTATTATTATTATTTTAATTGAATTTTAGATATTTCACAGTTAAGATAGAAATGAAAATTAACAAAAGTAATAATATGATTAAAATTAAACTTAAATGTGGTAGCAAACAACAATTACTACTACTACTACTATTATTATTATTATTATTATTATTATTATTATTATTATTATTATTATTATTATTAAATTTTGCATTCCATTTCTATCATAAATAAAAATAACTTTTATTTTAACAATTATTTTTATTTAATATGATAAATATATAACATTAGAAATGTTCTCAAATGTTTTCAACAAAATTCTATACATTTTCATTTTTGGTGTTCTATCTTTTTTTAAATATTTATTATTCAATTATAACATCATGAGTTTCTTTTAAAAATTGGATCATTGACCCACCATCTAGACAAGAAAATAGCTTTGCTTTCAGATAAGTTTTAAATTAAGGAAAATTATAGTTAGAATCAGTTGTTGTACATTTAAAATTAGCTATAGGTTGGTCTAAAAACCAACAAAAATTTAACAATCAGCTCTACATTTCAAATTATAAAAACCTCACCATGTCATCGGAGGCTTATGTGGTTGTTGCCAATATGGGACTCTTAATCCATATTAGACACAACAAAAAACTTATACCAAAATTGCCCTTTAATGCTGGGTGATTGGAAAATAAAAAAGGGTTTTTAGTTTCTCTCCTCCCCCCTCTATCCCCCACTCATTCTCACATTCGTCTCTCTTTTCTCAATGATTGTGTGATTTGAAAATAAATAAAAATGGTTTTTGGTTTCTATATTTACATTCTCTTTATCAATTTCTCTCATTCTCTCTCTACCTATCGTTTTCCCTCAATCTCTCCCATTCTCTTACTTGGTTGATTTCTCATTCTCCCTTAATTTCTATCGTTTTCCTTTAGTTTCTCTCTTATTATCTTTCTTGTTCTTCGTTTGTTTTTAATTTTCCTACACACTTATATGGTATTAATCAGATTGTCTAGAAGTGCATGAGACCAACTTGGTATAGTTCAAAAATCATTACACCAATTTGATATAAATTTACAATAAACTCTTGGCTATAAAATTTACACTAACTTGGGTAGAAATTTATAATTTGATTGTACGAGTGGTTGATCCCTTTAATTCCTTTATATGGTTTGATTAATATTGTATAAGTTTGTAAGAAAAATAAAAAAAGAACGAGAGAGGGAGTGGGAGAAAGATTAAAGGGAATGATAGAGATTGAAGGAAAAAGCAATATTGACCAAGAAGAAGAGTGAGGGAAAAGAATGAAAGAGAGAGAGAGAGAGAGAGAGAGAGAGAGAGAGAGTGAGTGAGAAAGAGAGGTTTTGATTTGGCTACACATCAAATCTGAGAGAATGGAAGAGACAAATGGAGTGGGAGATGAAAGATGATTATGAGAGTGAGAGAGAAGGGATGGAGATCTAGAGACAGAGGGAGCAAGAGAAAAATTGAAAACCTATTTTCAGTATACGCCTTTTGCTGTGTCCAACATGAATTAAGAGTTTTATGTTGGAAACAACCACATAAGCCTCCAATGACATAGCAGGGGCTTTTATAATTTGAAATGTAGAGCCGATTGTGAGAGTTTCGTTGGTTTCTAAACCAACCTGCAACCTAATTTTAAATATTAACTTTGACTATAATTTTTCCTTTAAATTATATAAAATAATTTTTATTTATCACACTTAATTTTTATTTGTCTATGATATGATTTGATCCAAGCCACTATCCCACCACCTAAAAAGAAAAATATTTTGATTTATAGATTGATATTAAATTTTGTATTACATTTCTATCATTGACAAAATTATTTCTTATGTATAATACTTATTTGTGTCCAATATAATGTATGTATAATATTAGAGATGTACCCAATATTTTATTTTTTATAAATATATACCATTAGTTATGTGCCCAAAATTTTCTCTATCTTTTTTATTTTTCTGATTCTTTGTATTTTCTATTATTAAAAATTTTACTATTTGACTATAATATCATTTCATTTACAGGTAGATTTTAAATTTGGCATTATATTTTCATCATTAATAAAAAGAACTTTTTATATATCACACTTATTTATTTTAATTTTTTATTATTTAATTAGGCATTATTTATTAATCCATTTGACTCCAAATGGTTGAATTGCTTGCCCACCAATGGGAGGAAAGAAAATGGATTTATTTTCAAATTACTTTTCAAAATATTTATATTTATGATATTAAACTTAATATTGTGGATTTAATTACAAGAATTTAATGGAGAGAGAAATATATCTTAAATATAGGATTTAATGAGAGAGAACAAAAAAATATTTTATTTCCAATTGGTTTAAAATTTTACGTTCCATTTCCAATTGGTTTAAAATATGTTAAAAATGTTCCAAATTCTTTTATTTTCTAATTTGTTTCATTTTATTATTTAATCATGGCAACATGGATTGACCCATTTGACCCACAATGGTTTAATTTCTTACCACTACCTAGATGAAAACACTATTTTTTTTAGATAGATTTTAAAACTATAAACTTTTATGTTATTAGAATTATTAATTTAATTCATTAAGTACGGATTTAATTAATAGAACTTAACGATGAGAAGAAACAAAAATGACTTAAATATATGATTCAATGAACATTAACTTAAATGTTGGATTTAATGGAAGGAAATTGAATGCATTGAATATCTTAAAATGACATCTTTTCAACTCATATAATATCAATAACCTATTACCCTATTTGCCCTCATTTTTTATAAATAAATTTCAATATAGAGGGGTAAATTTTGTCATCAAAAAATTCCAGAAATATTCTTGAGGCCATTCGTACTTTTTAAAGTAGTATAAATTTTGATAAATTCATGCATTCTCCAACTCCACAACACAACCCTTACTTATGAGGTGACATGACATAGTAATGATTGAATTTTGCCATGTGACATGCTGACATGTTGATATTAAAAAATCATGGACATTGAAAATATTGAATTTTCCATGCTGCATCTTCCACTAGTTCAAGTTGATGAGCATGGTATTTGTCTAAGTAAGATTTTAGAACTCTATTAAAGAGTGAATTTCTATATTCTGGATCAAATCTTTTAGCTTGGGGTTTTATTCATTAACATATATCATATCTACTGTTTCACAAAGTCGTCTCTATAACATATACGTTTAGTGATCAACATTTTTCTAGTAGTAAAAGAAGAATGCCAAGAAAAAAATTAACAAATAATAATATATTTATAAATCAATACTTCAGCAAAAATCAAAAGGTAGGAGCATGTAGAAAGGGTTTGTCACTTTCAAAGTTGCAGAGGATACAGGGGACTCACTGCCTCCGATCTTCACCCCAACGAGAAAACATATAAAAACAATAAAGTAAAAAAGCATAATCAGGACCTGTTTTAACAGATCTGAGGGAAGAGAAACTATCTCATGGGAAAAACAGAACTGAGGGAAGAAGCACCAAAGCCAGAAAAATGCTACAATTTGAAACAAAGAGAAATATTTCCTTCTATCGGACAAAAACCTTTATGCAAAGATCTTTAGCAATTTCCAACAAAAACCACATTCAATCTATCTTCTAATCTCTTGCAAAATAAGACCTTGTTTTGTACTCATAATATTGTTCCTCCAATTTCTTAGATGAAGAATCTTGTTACTAATGATAAATTTACTCTTAACACAGAAAGGACATGAATTCTTCTTCTTTTTTTTTTTGTATTCAAGTTAAATTTTGCATTACCGAGGTTCCAATTTCTAAATTTCAAATTACTACTACAAGTCACTAATTGAGACCACCCTCTACTTTTAGGCTGTGTTTGGTTTGAAGGAAAAAGTAGGGAAAGGAAGGAAAATGTAGAGAAACCTTTAGATATCTTGTATAGGTTTCCCTACATTTCCCTACCTTTTCCTTCAAACCATACATAGCCTAATTGTTAACCCTTTCTTTCTAGATAGGGCTCTTCTCGTAACATGATGATCTGAATATAGAGCATTGGCATGGTTTTTCAGCCAAGATCAAAGAGGAACAAAGCATAAAGCTTACATTACCATAAACAATACATTTAGTTACCAAAAAGGTTTCTAATTGAAACTTGCAAAGTAAAAAATTTGAAACAAAATCAAATCTTACCTCAATTGGCAAAGTTTGAGATTTTGGCTTTTTCAATAGTTGGATGAAAATCAATATTAACAGAGAATCAATGTTTTAAAAATCAAACCAAATTTGGAAAGCACCTTTCCCTTTGGGTCATGTGTTAGCAATTATACGCATGATCTTATTACAATTGTTAGGTTATAATAAAAAATCTCCTCCCTCAATCTTAGGTTTTCATTTCTAAAAACCTCTACGTAGGAAAATAAGATGGACTGATGGAGAGAAAGAGGAAAGATAGAGAAAAGCAAGCTACTAACTTGCCGTGTATCTCTAGCAGCAACAACAATAATAACAATGGTGGGTTAGCCTAAAAAGA